CAAAATAGACTGTTTAGAACTCATTACATGCAAAAACGTTTCTGGATCATTTTCAGCCCCTATATTGTAGTCAAATTCTTGTAGATATGTGATGTAGTCACTAGGTATAGCTGAATTCCTTATTCTAGTAGATCTCTTCAAATTTTCTTCATAAGAAGCAAGCTCCTCAATAGTTTGTTCAACTTGTTCTGGAGATTGTTGAATACTTGGATCTACAGAAATTTGATCTTGTGAAGTTACATTTATTGGTTGTGTTTCACTTATTTGAGGTGTATCATGTATATCAACTAATTCTTCACTCATAATGGGAGTTTGATTTTCCACATGATCTTGCTTGAGAGATAAATCCCAAGTTTGATCACTCCCACTGATCAAGTCATTCTCAAGGAATTTCGCATTTCTTGACTCTACAAACCTAGTGCTATGAGATGGACAATAGAATCTGTATCCTTTGGATCTTTCGACATATCCAACGAAATACCCACTTATGGTCCTTGGATCCAATTTCTTTTCCTGTGGATTATAAATTCTTATTTCAGACGGACATCCCCATATGCGCATATGTCGCAAACTCGGTTTCCAACTTTTGAATAACTCAAATGGTGTTTTAGAAACAGCCTTGGTTGGAACTTGGTTTAATATATATGATGTCGTCTTAAGAGCCTCAGTCCACAAGAATCTATTAAGCTTGAAGCTGCTAAGCATGCTCTGCACCATATTTAATAAGGTCCAGTTTCTTCTTTCTGCTACACCATTCTGATCTGGAGACCTAGGCATGGTGTATTAGGCAACAATCCCATTTTCCTCAAGAAACCTCGCAAATAGACTTGGTGCTTGTCCATCATCAATACATCTACCATAGTATTCACCTCCTCGATTTGATCTCACGATCTTTATTTGCTTTCCACATTATTTTTCTACTTCTACCTTGAAAACTTTAAAGGCATCTAAAGTTTCATGTTAATTATGTAGTAAGTAGAGATACATATATTGTGAATAATCATCAATGAATGAGATAAAATATTTCTGATCACACGAGTCCATGTTTGGACTACAAATATCCATATGTATGATCTCTAATATTTCTGAACTTCTCTTTGCACCTTTCTTGGATATGTTAGTCTGCTTTCCCTTTATGCAGTCTATACATGTCCCAAAGTCAGTAAAATTTAGAGTACTAAGTACTCCTTCATTTACCAACCGTTTGATTCTGTCAAGGGATATATGTCCCAGTCTACGATGTCACAAAATAGAGGAATTTTCATTCACAATACATCTTTTAATACCCGCATTATTTTGAATATGCATTGCATCATATATAGAATTATCTTTCAAATTAATTTGAAAAAGACCATCAGACAATGTACCATTCCCAACCAAATCAGATTTATAAAATAAACTAAATGATAAATTAGAAAATCTAAAAGAATATCCCAAAGGTACGAGTCTTGATACTGAAATCAAATTCCTAGAAAAATTTAGAATAAAAAATGTCTTTTCCAAAAACAAAATAAAACCAGAATCTAAAACTAATTTGCATGTTCCCACAGCTTCAACCGGCGAGCGCATTCTGTTTCCCGTATAGATGCATTGCTCATTTCCCACCAGTTTCCTGTGGCTTAGAAAGCCCTACAAGGTATTAGAGATATGGATTGTAGAACCAGAGTCAATCCACCATGTATTATGACAAATATCAGTCACATTAGATTCAAACAAACTAGAGATAGAGGATTGCCTTTCTTTTCAAGCCAAACCTTATACTTGACACAATCCTTCTTGGCATGTCCCTTCTTTTTATAGAAAAAACACTTGAATTGTTTCTTTATATTAGTTTGAGCAGGTAACTTTCCTTTTCCCTTACGCTTGGCTTTTATCTGTTTCCTTCCTTGAGTAGCCATATGTGCACTTTCTCCCATCTCAGCAATCAATCTTCCCTCTTTTTGAACACACATGGCCAGAAGTTCATTAATTGACCTTTTTTGCCTATGCGTGTTATAAGAGATTTTGAATGCACTGTAATGTTGTGGTAAGGAATTCAAAATGAAATGCACCAAGAAGAATTCTGACATGTCCACCTCTAGTGCCTTTAATTGGGCTGCCATGTCTCTCATCTTCATGATGTGCTCATGCACACCCTTAACTCTAGTGAGCCTCATGGTTGACAACTGTGTCATAAGGGTGCTAGTAAGGGCCTTATTTGAAGACTCAAAATGCTCATCAATGGCCTTCAGAAGATCATTCACATTGACTTGCTTACCTATGGATCCATGAATGCTAGCTAGTATATGTGTCCTAATGTACATCATAGACAAATGATTAGATCGTTCCCACCGTTCATGGAGCGTTACCTCTTCCTGAGTGCTATTATTCGTAGGAGTAGGTGGTTTACTTTTCCTTATAGCAAGATCAATGTCCATGCACCCTAACTGGAGGAGAATCCTCTCTCTCTACATCTTATAGTTGTCACCAGTTAATTCAGGAATATCAATTTTGAAATCAGAGAAATTCATAGTTGCTGCAAGAAATTAAATGTGCTCACGAATTATAAAGAGGCTAAAAGCATATTTTACCAATGTAAATATGTTAAATATAAATCAATACAACAAAACTGCCTGTGGGCTAAGTTTTATTTTAGGATTTATATTTTACTTTATATGATGAAACTAATAAATTGTATACCTTCTTAATTCCTGTGGGCAAATTAAGAAAACAATTCATTATTTCATCCTAATTAATCATATAATTATAATAAAATTCCTGTGGGATGAAATTATTACATTAATTATGATTAATTACAATTTGATGTGAATTACCATATTTGACCTCTGGTGTGGAATTTATCATAATTTGGAGATGCTGTGGCTAATTTCTAATTATTTAAAATTGCAATGATCAAATGTAACATCACAATTGTCAAGAATTACTATCTAAATGCAATTCGTATCAGTTCATATATTTAAACACATATATATCAAATATATGAGCAATTTTTTTATTGCATGTATATATGAAGAATTGAATTTCAAAATTTAAATTGAAACAGCACATAATGTTTCACAATTTCATATATACAAAAAAAAAATTAAACAACTATAAATATAATTAAGGGAATATAAACAAAATGTTTATTAATTTAGAAATTTTCCCTTTTTTAAAAAAAATAGTTAAATCTAGCTCAGGTCAACGAGCGGTCAATGCGGGCGGGTCAACTCGCGCTCAGTTCAGCATGCGGGTTGGCGTACGGGTCACAGATTAGGGTCGGGCTATCGGATCAGGATGGGTTGCAACCCCGCGGGTCTGGATGCGGGCGGTTCAGGTCAGGCGCGGGTCAGCTACTCGGGTCAACCGGTCAGGCGCGTAGGTCAACCCGTCTCCGCATGCGCCACACCTTTTTCCTTTTTTTTTTTAATGCCCTAGTGTGTCTTGCACGCGTTGGTCGTCTTCTTCCCTGAACCTCTTCTTCTGCAACTTTTTTTTTTTATAAATCCGACCTTTACAACCAATCCTTCTGATCATCAATGGGATCTACACTGGTCGAGAAGATCTAGATGGCCAAGAATCTCCCAAACGAGGAAGCTAAAAAAAAAAAACAAATTTACCCCGATTTGCTTTATGGCCACTGATTTGTTAAAAACCAGTCTGACAAAATTCTACTATGCTGCAATTAGCCGAGAAGTCGACGACGGCTGCTGTTTTGTCCAAAATCCGAAAGGACAGATGTATGCAACCATCGTCTGTTGCGAGCTATCTCGGTTATTGCAGAACCCATCTGATCGACAAGCCTCATTCGATCAGTCTTCCCAGAATCCAGTTGATGCAACGCTCTAGTCTGCCATCAATGGCAGTTTGCTTGATCTGAAGCCGGTTCCAGTCATGGTTCAACTGGCTCCATAAAACCCCAAAGTCAAGAATCCAATTAGTTTCATAAACCAAATCGAAAAACTCAAAATTTCCAATTATACTTAGATCATCATTTTTGGTTATATATATATATATATATATAACACATTTATAACACACATATGTAAGTATTTGCAAACATATTTGTAGCTGTAAGTATATTTTGACAATCTGATTGTTTTGCTAAAAACACTATTCCCAAAACCCGAAAACTGTTTTGTTGTTTTAAATGTAAAAATCAGATTTTCAAATATATGTGAATGCAAAGCTCGTTGGCCAAAATCTTTTGCGAACATTATGTGTGTGTATAAGTAATCACAGAAGCTAGTTTTCCAACATAAATATACATTGTGTATACGGGTATATAAATGTAATCAAACAATATATGCATACAATATATGTAAATTGCAGTTCCGTACGTATGCATGAGCATGGTTTATCAAGGCAGAAATCAAATATGCTCTGATACCAAATGATAATAAAATATTTTGAAAACCTTAATTTCGAGTTAATAATTTTAATATCAAGCTCGAAATCAAGAATGCGGAATAGGAATAGAAATACCTCCAGCCATTGATATAAACCTGAAGTCGTGTTTGAAACCGGAAACCTCGTATTGCATAATCTCAATTTCGAAAGTTGTAAGAGTTCTTCTAAGCTCTCAAATGGCTCACTGATGGTGTGTATAATATTTCACGTATTGAGCTTAGGAACCCTTACCTTTATTTATAGATACGTTTCCATCAAACGTGATAAATACAAAATAAATTAGAGATAATTAAAAGATAAATACAGAGTATATCTAGATGGGATTATTCTTTATATTGGATAATTACTTTAATAATTATTATTAAATATAATAAAAGGATAATTCCAACATGATTTTCATAATTCCGTGGTCTTCCAAGCTCTTCACTCCGAGGATAACTACCTTCGGATTCAAGTAAGCACACATGAACTCTAACTTTCTTCATTATCTACATAAAGGGTCTGTTTGGCTAAAAGCCTAAAAAGCTCATGAGTTGCTCTTTGAATCTTGGGGATGCTGCTGTATTAGTGACCTTAAACCCCATGTTCACGATTTCCTTCCTTCGAAAATAATGATAGTTGCAAAATTCAGTGGCAAATGGCCCTAACCTTGTTTCATGTGTGGGTAAATTGAAATCAATGGCAGGAGGACAGGTTGAGCGGAACGGACTCTTCCTTGGATATCTCCACAAAGGAGAACTTGGAGAAGCTTGTTAGTATTGGAGAGAAGTTGTTGAAGAAGCTGGTTTCTCGGGTGAATTTGGAAACTGGTTTGTCAGAGCCAGTTAAAAACGGTGGCACAAATGAGGAAGCTTTGAAAAGGTATTAAAAGATAATTTTTTTAAAATTTTTTCAAATTCGTATTAATGTATGGTTTAATTAATTTCTCAAAAATCATAATATTAAAAAAATAAAAATTGTAATTAGAAGAGATAGGAAAGAGATATAAGAATTTAAATAATTCAGCACAATTAGTCTAAATCCACATAAAATAATAATTATAATTTTACATCTCCCTTTCCCAATCAACTAATATACATGTTACAGAAATATTTATCAACAGTTAAAAAGGTTAAAATAAAATTCATATTTATAATTATTCTCATATGTTGTTTCATGCTGAATCCTATATTTAATATTACATATAATACCTCTTAAAATATTTTGTAACAGTGCTGAACATGCTCTTTCATGTCTCTTAATAGGTTTGCAAAATTACTATCAGGTGAGAGGCGACCCCGCCAGTCAAAAGTGTCCAAACATCAATAAACGCATCAAGGATGGGGTTGACACGTCATTATTTGTAGGACCACAGGCTATGGTACAACTGTACTTAGTAGATTGTAACTTTGTGTTTTCATTTGCAGTCGTCATTTGTCAATTGTTGTAATTTATTTCGCTCTTTTAATTTCTTAATCATTTCTGTAACGGAAATGTAATAACTTTAAGCTTCATTTGTATTCATTTAATTGTTTAAATTCGGACTACAAGCAAAATTTGTGATGGTAAAAAGGCAAATAAATAGTGCACTTATTTACTCCGTCTGTCTTTTTTTTTTTTTTTTAAAGTTAAACTGAGTCAATTTAAGACTTGCCACTTTTTAGAAATACATCCGTCAAACTACAAGACCGCAAGGGCTAAAATCCCTTTACAAATAAAAATATAGGATGATTCTTGTAAAAAATAGAAGGTATAATTAGGTTGCTTGTGCTTCGTGAACTAACCCGAACTGGAATTGAATCATTGATTTTGGTTCTAGAAAAATATGAATCAAGATCAGAACCTTGAAAGCTAGTTTCAATTTCGGTTCATCACATTTTTAGTCTGGTTCACAGTTCTAATTCATCACGATTTTAGTTCCTATCCCATTTTGGCCCAGTTCACGGTTCTGGGTTGGGTCACTTCATGATTTTGGTTCATTTGCAATTCTAGTTTGTAATTCTAGTTCGTTCTCAATTCATTCATTGTTTCGGTTTTGATTTTAGTTCTGGTTCGTTCACAGTTTATTTCCAATTCAATTGCAATTTGCTCCTAGTTCATCTGTAGTTTCGTTCAATTTTAGTTCAGTCATAGTTTGTCCCCAGTTCAATTGCAATTTGCTCCTGGTTCATCCATAGTTACGTTCAGTTTTAGTTCGATTTTACCGAAAAAATTTATATATTAACTTACAAATACGTTTGGATTATTAAATATTTTTCAAGCATGATAAATATTTAATCTTATAAATAACTTTAAAATACTAAAAACTAAATGCTAAATGATTTAAACTTAATTATATATCAATTGAGCTACCTACGTATCCTTTTGGAGTTTAGAAAAATCAAAATTCACGTAGTTTACTTATTTTAATTAATGTATTCTCTTACCTTTTGGTGGAAGCATGCTCAAAAGGAAATTAAAAAAAATAATATACTTATATTTATATTAGTATTTTGATAATATGTTCTTAATCTAAATATTCTTGTATTTATGCCCCTTAAGCAACTCAAAAGCAATAACAATTAAATTAAATGAATTAAGTATTTGCTAGAAATTGAAGAAAAGAAAAGAAGAAATATAATTACTTTTCATAATTAATAAATTTTAATTTATCATCTATTTTTAATTTTTACAAACTAATATTTTCAAAGAAAAAAAGAAAAATGAAAGAAAAGAAATGATATTTGCCAATTTTTTATATTTTTGCTACCCGTAATTAGAAACTGTAGTTGATTAAGGAGTTGTTTATTTTCAGAAAATTTGAAAATTTTAATTTACTTTTAATTTATTTTATATTAGAAAGAAATCCACCTAAATAAATGTAAAGAATTTCACAGTTTAGTTATGGTCTGGTTCACAATTTACTCATGGTTCATGGTTTATTCACAGTTTATAGTTTGTTCACGGTTCACGGTTCATTCACAATTATAGTTCACAGTTCAATGTTCAGGGTTCATTTACAGTTCCAATTCACATTTCAAACGTGGTTTGATTGACACAATTCTATTCAATTTCATTTCATTGGTTCTTGTATGGTTCCAATTTTGATTCCGGTTTAGGTTAAAAAAAAATATGAACCTTAGCTAGACCAATTACCTTTACGATTTAGAAATTGATCGGACCAAAAATTGCTAGTCTAGTCCAATCTAGTTCGGTCCATTCCAGTTTGATTTTTTGTAGGTCCAGTCTGAGTTAATTCATGGTTTGGATCGAACTCGTGGATAGGCCTACGTAAAATTAAGAGTACAAACCCTGTGCTATTTTTAGGAGTGGGACTACCCCATTAACAATCTATATTAGGTTAATTTATAATTAATTTGTTTGAACTTAGTGATCTTTGGGTGAATTTGTTGATGACTTGAAAAATTATTTTTTAAGCAAAGTTGTATTCAAAATTGTTAATAAATTGAATTTTAATTCGAGTCTAATGTGAATTTTGAAATTTTAAAATTCCAATTCAATTAAAATATTCTATAAATCTAATTTAACTATAAATATTTATAATTTAAAATAACAGAACTAAATATAACATTAAGTAATTTGATTCATTAAAAATTCGAATTCGTATTGTAATAATTTTTAAATTAATAGTGTTGTATTTATGCGCGTACGCGTGTGTGTGTGTGTGTGGGCATGCATTAAAATTCAAATTTGTAGGGGCGAAGTAAAAAAAAAAAATAGAATGCAACAAAATTGAGAAATTTAAGTGTAAAAAAAATTTTTTCTTGTCAAATTTTGGATTACTTACCATATTCGAATGTGAATTAACAGGAAAAAATCCTTCAAGATCTTGAATTGATTCGAATTTACTTAATTTGATCTAAATTTGACTTATTAAAAGCTCTAACTATATTTTTAGAAATGGGTTACCTTTGAACAAATATATTAAGTTTATTTTAATTATATGTGAAAAAAATTTTGAAATCTCATTCCACATGAAAGCTTGACAAGCATTTCAATTTAATTAATGTTATGGGCAATCCATATTTGCAGCTGGGTTTTAGATAGATTTTTGGCCAGCGGTTTGGTCATGGTTGAGACACTACCAGATGGCAAAACATAAACGAAAGAAAGCATAAGTTGAATTTAATTGTCCAAATTGGTCTCAAGTCGATTGTTGATAAATTTTAATGGAAATTACTAATACATCCACGATTAACATAGTGCAAAATATCCTTTTCCTTTGAATTGGATCTGCAGGCCGCGTTTCTTGACGAACAAAACTCATAATTTCCTCTCACCTTCACTCTCCATTTTTCTGAAATTTTGCCTCTGATGTTTTCTTTGTAGAAAGTTCTAAATATTATTGTACAGAAGAACTTGGGGCTTATGGTTGGTACTCAGCTTTTCAAAATCATTAACAGCTGGGAACCACCGACCCAAGCGACCTTTCCAAGAAGGCAAACTTTCAACTTATTTTAACCTGTTCAAGTTATATAATTCTTGTTTTTCTCCTACTTTTTCTTTCCAGAAGGACTCGAATGGTTTATTGAATTATGTTACATAATTAAGTGGACTCAGCATGGGGAGATCAATTCAAACAGGGACGATTAAAAACTTGGTCGAATGTTTAGTGAAACACTTTAAACTTCTCTCACTTTGGAGAGTAGATTGTGAAGATCAACAGCCTTGCCCAATAAAAATGAACAGGTTTCAGTAGATGCTATTTTCTCTTATTGGGTGGGAAACAAGTAGCTTTCATGCTTTTGGCAAACACTATAAGTATTTGAACGAGCCGCATGTTTTCATTGGTTACATACAAACAAACTAAAACCACTTGCAATTCGGAAGGACGACGTATATTTTAAAGGAATGGATAAGGGAAAACAACCACTACATTAGATCATCAATTTAATCTAGTTTCCGAGGTTGACTTGAATTGATTTGTTAAATTAAGTGCATTAGTTAGTCACATGAACTTTCCGACCTTTCCATTTAAGGTGAGAATAATTCAACTTGGTATTATCTAACTAATTAATTATTGTTGAATAACAAAAACGACGTGCCAAATGTCTTTAATTAATTATTGTTGAATAACAAAAATGACATGTCAAATGTCTTTAATTATCATGCATTAGAGGGAAATATCATTTTGCCACCATATTGTTTTCATTAGATCCTTGAAGCTAGAGAGAGATCAACTTGCTTATCAAATAAATTAAAATTTTATGGAATCGTCATTGTCTTATTTAATTATAATAATTAGGCATTGTGCATTGCATCTAGTAACCTAATTAAGTCATTGTGGCATGTCTTTTAAGATCCTTCAAGGTTCATCTCTTTGTGGCGTGGCATACCTTGAGTGGGAGAATTGACAAAAACTTCAGAACCTGATGAGATTAAATACATCATTTCTAAAATATTAATCCTTAAAGAAATGGTCATTATAACATATGGTTATAACACACATGGAAAACTAACGCGTGCATTGTTTTATTGGGTAAAGACAGCGTCTTTTCTTGCAATGTATATCCAATTAAGAATTAATTAACTCCTACCGTTTACAACCCTCCAATATTTAGTAGCCAAGGGTGGCGGGCTGGCTGCTAGTATAAATCTGCAAAGCCAATCCTCCCTAAGAGACCAAAAGATTCATACATAGTTGAAGCAAAATCATACACGGGGGCTGCCAACCATCTTTTTGTGAAGATTGACATAAGCTAGCACATCATTTTATATCCCACTTGAATCTCATGACAAATCTCTAATTTCCCCCATTTGAGAAATGGGATTTTCAAAGATCTATTAGTTAGTACTGAATATTTTAAAAGTGCTGAATATTAGTTAGTGACAGTGTGTAAAAATCTAAAAGTACTATAAGATAGAAAACAGTGTTTTAATTTCATGCTTTCTTACACAAATTCTTGTAAGCATTTGAATGTAAAAGGATAAGTTGCCAGCACATTTGAGAAAAACAAAAATCCGAAAACAGAAATAAGTATTATTCCGAGAATCATCATCAAACTGTTTTCAAACATAAGCCCCATGCATGTCTTTCCAAAACAACTTCAATCATGATCTTTTGTTTATTTTGACTGTTGTATTTCTTTACATTTGCATTTTCTGTTTTTTTGAACTCCTTAACAACTTGTGTGACACCCTTTTAGGATTATCAATTTTTCTTTTGGTACACCAAAAACATAACTTTGGGCAAGTAAAAACTTCATATACCACTTAGTCTAAGTTTTAAATTTTTATATCAATTTCGTGCCATAGGTGTTTTTGAAACACCTCCGAAGCTGTCTCTTGTTTTTTTGGAAATATTTTCTGGATATTATTTTAAATTAATCCCATCTGGCTTTTCCAAAGAACCAAAAGTACCCTTCATTTATAACAGTTATTTTGACGTGACAAAGGTATACAAGTTTCTGACTGTAGTAGTCTGTGGGAGGTGATCATGGCGACAAAGGCATACAAGTTTCTGACTGTAGTAGTCTATAGGAGGTGATCATGGCAAACTTGGCTCCAATAAGATCCCATGTCACAGGTAACCAGGATTCCTCACGCAAGAAAATTCTTGCCATATTAAATAAATTAGAAGGAAAAAAAAAGTGACATTTTCATCTCCTCCCATTAAATTAAATTCAGCGGTTGGTGATTCCCGTCTCCCACAGTTCCTTGTGCAGCGGCTCAGACTTGACCAATTCCCTCACCCTCCACCCGACACAAAAAATAAAACTAAAAGATTGACATGACTTTGAGAATTTACAGTTCCTTCTTCAAGGTATTGTAAAATATGGAAAGGATAAGGTGAGGTTTAGCGAGAGTGAAGATTATTTGAGCCGCTAAGGTCTATAAATAGGCAACCAGTTAAGAAAATCTAGTTGCAAAACGAGCTTACAAATAGCTCTCGTGTATATTTTTTGGAGTCTAATTCTTAAGACGATTGAAAAGAGAGAGCACTTTTTGCTGCTTCAATGGAGAAAGTACCGTGTTGTGCTCGCATTCAGCCCCCAAATTGCGGTAAATTGATCACCATTCTTAGTATTGATGGGGGTGGTATTCGAGGGGTCATTCCTGCCACTATCCTCACTTTCCTCGAGTCCCAACTTCAGGTATTACTTCAATTCTCTCTCTCTCTCTCTCTCTCTCTCTCTCTCTCTGTATATATATATATGTATATATATAGGCACTCTGTGAACTATCACAGAGAGACGGAGGGAACGAGGGAAGCGAGAGAGACTGTCAATCAGATAACTAAAATTGCAATAATATGTTTTGCATCTGATAATTAATCTATGAGTTCATTTTTAAACCATCTAAATTTAAAGCATTTTGGGCACTCAGGTAAATTCTTTAAATCCACGGTTAGTATTATTTATCATTGGCAATGAGTTAGATTTGATCTGAATTATAATAGATTTAGATCTGAATATGATAGTAGTATGTTATATTCGAATTTAATCTTAAATTTTAAAAAATATGTATTTAGTGCTATAATATTAAAATTTGGATAAAATTTGATATTCGAAACAACAATCTAAATCTAAATTGTTGGATTACTGTACCTTTATTTTTTTACATTTTAGAAAAAATAATTTAAAACTAAAATAATAAATTCTTAAAAAATATGAACTAAAAAAATTTAGAGTTAAAAAATATAATATAATTGTATTTTATCTACCACAACTACTATATTTGAGATTAGTTTATTAGTAATACATAACAATTATATTTAATCTATCAATTTAGATATTTCTCAATTACAATTTTATAAAAAATATAAATATGCTTATAATTTCTATTTTTTAGGAAAAATAATTTATTAACTAAGGTCAAATGAATCAAGTTTATAATGTGATATATATGTGTATATATATATAATATTGTTTATCATATATATAATATATATATAATTTACATACATGCATACTTGCATATATATATATATATATTCAGATTTAGATTTTTAATAGAACGAATAAGGTAAAATTCATATTTATGCTACTTATTTTTATTATAGAGTTTTATAATTGAATTAGATTTGGATTAAAATCCTCTTCATTTACATTCCTGGTATTGTTATTACAATTGCAAATGATGACTGACGGTTTGAGAAATTATTATGTGGGGAGGGGTCTAAGCTTTATTCTTTCAGATTTGGGCCTCAAGGAGGAACTTGGACAGAAATTATATTTTCCAAACATATGAATGGATACGCGTGAACATGCACGTTAATTGTTAAATAATGAAATTAACAGCGCAAATTTGCATTAAGCAGGAGCTGGATGGTGAAGATGCAAGACTTGCGGATTACTTTGACGTTATTGCGGGAACAAGCACGGGTGGTCTCATAACTGCGATGTTGGCTGCCCCGATGAAAACAACCGTCCTCTCTTTGCAGCCAAGGACATTACCTATTTTTATCTCCAGCATGGCCCTAAGATCTTCCCTCAAAAAGGGTACATTGTTAGCATTTTCTTTAGCTTCCACATGGGCTCTTTATTTTTAAAATTAAGTCCTTAAACTATGAGAATTATTCTAATATGATCTCGTAACTCAATTGTCATCCAAAAGGCTAATGGCTATTTAATCTTCCAACTTACATTTTTGATGCACCTTCCTCAAATATATAGGACTTATCTTAGCAATAAATAACTAGATTTTTTCGAAAGTATATTCAATTAAAAATAGTAAAATCATCTTAGAATTATTCTTGTAATTTGTAGGTTAAATTTTAAAAATTAAAGGTTTTGTCCAAAAAAAAAAATATATTTTTCAGAGCTTTTAATTAATTAATTAATTAATTGGTTAGTTAGAATTATCATCATTGCAGACAATAATGGCTAATGAACAGTTTTGGTTGAACAACGGCAGGACTGTATTTGGATCAATCAGAAATACGTTGGCCCTGTTAATGGGACCCAAGTACAGTGGAAAATATCTTCATGGTGTCATAAGGGAGAAGCTTGGGGAGACCCGGTTGCATCAGACCTTGACCAATGTTGTCATCCCCACCTTCGATATCAAGAACTTGCAGCCCACCATTTTTACCAATTACGAGGTCTCTCTCTCTCTCTCTCTCTCTCTCTCAAATTTCTAGACTCCAAAGTTCTTAAAGTTGACTAGAAACCTTATTTTAGCACAGCACAGAATAATTAACAAGGTCACTAGAAATTAATATAGTTTATTATTTGGTCGTCATGTGTTGATGACCTGATCATTAGGAAATTAATATAATATGTTGACAGCCGTCAAAGCCTAAACATCAGAGGAAGACACAATAGACGCCCAGAAAATGGTAAACTGTCAACTTTTGTGAAGACTAGGATGAGCCAGCTAGCTAAAGTCCAAGCTGGAAAAAATCAAAAAATTATTTTAAGGAGACTTGGCTTATCTCTACTTCTAGGTTTTTTATGCTGGCTAAGGGAATGTTCATTATTTTAGGCTTTTGGACTTCTATGTTCTATTGGCTTAATTATATATGTATTGACTGTCGATATTTTCAGGTTGTTAGACTCAAAAACTAATTACCCAAGTTTAGAAATGTGCATTATGAAACACCCTTAAGGCTTCCATAACTTGGCTTCGACGCCTTTCAAGGAAGAGACTTTCTTAAACCTTTTAAAGTCGTAACCAATTACACTTGAAATTGTACAAAGCAGTTTTTTGGCATATACCAAACAAGATATAACAATAACTTTAAACCTTTTTGCTACCTTCGACTTCCGAATTACATGCTGATACCTCTCATTAAGCTCGGGAAAAAAACAAAAAAGATGACTCTTTTTGATTTCACAATATTAAGCTGCGCAGTCAATAAGGTGGCCATAATTGTATACTTAAGTTGTTTCCTACTGATGGCAGGTGAAAAAATCAAAATGCTTGGATGCCCTTCTATCTGATATCTGCATCAGCACATCCGCTGCTCCAACCTATCTTCCAGCCCACTACTTCACCAACCAGGACGATGATGGAAATGTTAGAGAATTCAACCTCATTGATGGTGGTGTTGCTGCAAATAACCCGGTGCGATTATTGCTTAATCCAATTTTTAAGACAATAAAAAACCCAGATCACTACAAACCAAAGTTAACGAATCATTGAACTGAACTTCATGGATTTTTGCTTCTTAAATCCATATATTCTACATGATTAATTCCTGTAGGCTTTGGTTGCAATAAGCCAAGTGACCAAGAAGATATTTGAGCAAGACCCAGACTTCTTCCCCATCAAGGACATGGACTATGGTCGATTTTTGGTGATATCAATAGGCACTGGCTCTGCAAAGGTGGAGAAGAAGTACAACGCAAAAATGGCAGCCAAATGGGGAGTCTTGGGTTGGTTGATTCATGGAGGCTCCACCCCACTAGTTGATGTGTTTACTCAAGCAAGTGCTGATATGGTTGATTTTCACAACTCCGTTTTTTTCCAAGCTCTTCATTCCGAAAACAATTACCTTCGAATCCAGGTTTAATTCTGTTTGAATTCTATGCATTTAAATTTCTAAAAACAAAAGACAAGAAGGGTTTCTAGAGAGATTCCTTATCCTTCATCAACTTTATACTCAACAATTAATTTCAGGAAGATACGTTGAGTGGGAAGGATGCTTCGGTTGATGTGTCCACCAAGGAGAACTTGGAAAAGCTGGTTGAAATCGGAGAGAGGTTGTTGAAGAAGCCGGTTTCGAGGGTGAACTTGGAGATGGGCCTCTTCGAACCAATTGAAAACAGTGGCACGAATGAAGATGCTTTGAAAAGGTATGGATGCTCTTTTCAGGATACCGAAGTGCTCAATTCTTTTGTGAGAAAAATGCCTGGAAAAATTAATTTCTGGTTTATGGATGTCAGGTTTGCAAAACTGCTTTCGGATGAAAGGAAGCTTCGAGAGCTGAAATCGCCACTCACCAAGAATGGCTAGCTTGAAGAATTACTAGTGCATTAATCCTTTCTAGTCCTATTCATCTAAATACGCTTATTGTTATTTGATTTATTAAATAAATTACCTGTTTGATCTCCAGCTTTTGTCTCCTTATTTGTACTCGTATGTTTTAAATTTCTTGTTTATGTGTGTAATTTCTGATTACAACTTGATATTGTATCTTGATTTATTATTGATTTTTATTTTATGAAATAAACAGTGCAAAAGTCGTGATTTTTTGGACATCTTCACCAATTTTCTTCTTTAAAAAGAAAATAATCATTACTATTATGTAAAGTCGTCTGTATTTGATATTGCATCCTAACAAAAATGAATCGTGCCCAAGCAAAATAAAACCCCTGCTCATGAAGGCAAGAACCCAAGAAAGAAATCTGTACAACCAAAACGAAACTCTAGCAGGACCCCACCTATACAGAAACTTAAAAGATGGGCTATACGTACAATAGCCACAAGAACACCCATCGAGCCCCTGAAATTGGCCAAAAACTGGGCATAAAGTCGGACAGTAGAAACAAATGCTGGAGGAAACGGGGCCTACCTGTAATTTTGAACAACAATGGATAGGCTGTAATCTAGTGATGCTTGAAACGTGTAGGACACTGTCTTTAAGACGAATTTTGCCCCCACTAATTGCTGCAGAGTTATGGCAAATCACCTCTAGGAATTATTTAAGCACCCAAGGATTATCAGTCAACAATACTGATAATCATACTTCCAAAAATTGAATTGAATGATATTTGAGAAAATAGAAAAAGATTGAAGGAAGACAATCTATTTTTTTTTTCAATAATCTAGTCATATTTATAATATACTTTGCGACTTTTAGGCAAAAGACATGACTATTAATCAACAGTTATCAAAACTGTTATTAACTACCAAATTTTAAAAAAAAAAAAAAAGAAAATAATCAGAACCATTGGATCCTTATCTAATCCAAGTGCTAAGTGCTAAGTTTTTATAGTAAATATAAATCTATATATTAATTTATTAGCACATGTACTTTTCATGTTCCTCCAAAACTTTTTTAACCGTGGAGTTGTCCTTCAATATATAAAAAGATGTAAACTTGTTTCTCTTCCGATGTGGGATCCTTTTTCCTTACAAATGTTTTACAAACTATCCAACAATCCCCACTTAGTTTGTAAAACTAATTATCTTCTCATATCCATATAATATCATGTATAGGAGAAAGTATCTTTCGATTTGAACATTCTCTTAGTGTAAGTATTTCAAAGTCTTCACGTAATTAATGGTAGATATAAAAAAAATCTTGAACCACAATCACTTATGTGAAAACCGGAAATACCACACACATGATACCATAATACTTCAGAGCAATTCACAAAAAATATATCTAGCACTAATATGGCCATGTGCTGCATCCTAGTTTTCATGAACATTTCCAAAAATCAACCCAAAACTTTTGGTAGGAGCGGCACCACTCCTTATGTTCATATAGGTGAAGTTCATTTAACATCCGGTTAGATTTGCCTACCAATAACTTCATTAAGAGTTAAGCACTCATCCTCTTTTACTTATAATTTGCACTAGACTTGGAATGGTAGTAAATTTCTAGTGTCTCAAGTCACTTATCAACAACTTGTTATTACCCATTGAACTTTAGAACTAGAATTATTCTAGAAAAGTTGGGTTTTTGTTATTGGTGACTTTAAGTGAAGGGTTTTAATCCCATTCCTATTGATGATTTCCTCACCAAATCTTTAGTGAGCCCTTTCGTAAAAGGATCAGCCAAGTTATTACTTGACTTGACATATTGAATTATAATTATACCATCACAAATCAATTGTCTTACATACTCATGTCATAGACTAATATGTCTAGACTTTCCATTATATACCTTATTAAACGCTCTAGACATAGTAGCTTCATTGTCACAATGCAAAGAAATGGCTGGCATCGGTTGTGGCCATAACACTATTTCTAATAATAAATCTCTTAGCCATTCAGCCTCTTTGCATGCACTTGCCAAAGCAACAAACTCAGATTCCATTGTTGAATGAGTTATACACGTCTGCTTCTTAGAAGCCCAAGAAACTACCCCTCCACCAATGGTAAAAACCCATCCGGAGGTTGACTTATTGTCTCTAGCACTAGTTATCCAACTAGCATCTGTATATCCTTCCAAAACTGCAGGAAATTTCCATGGAAAAGTCCTATATGTACAGTTTTCTTAAGAAATCCTAGAACTCTTCTAATTGCCTTCCAATGATCAATACCTGGATTACTTGTGTACCTTGAAAGTTTGCAAACTTTGAAAGAAATATCTGGTATAGTACAATGCATAGCATACATAAGACTACCAATGGCACTTGCATATTCAATTTGAGCAACTGTCCTACCAGTATTTTCTTTTAATACATGAGAAGCATCATATGGAGTATTTGCCTCTTTGATTCCCAAGTGTTTGAACTTGTCTAAAATTTTCTCTATATAGTGTGTTTGATTTAAGGCAAAACCCCCACTATGCTTTATCACCTTAATGCCTAAGATAGTATCTACCTCTCCAAGATATTTCATTTTGAATCTCAAAGATAAATACTCCTTAGTTTTATTAATACCATCCATATTTGTCCCAATTATGAGCATATCATCCACATATAAACAAATAATAACATAATAGCTTTCTGTGGATTTAGAATAAATACATTTATCAGCATTATTATGCTTAAAACCGTGGGAAATAATTACAGAATCAAACTTCTCATGCCATTGATTTGGTGCTTGTTTTAATCCATACAATGACTTTATAAGTTTACATACTTTCTTTTCATTTCCAGGTAAAATAAATCCTTCAAGTTGCTCTATATACATTTCTTATTCAAGTTCACCATTTAAAAATGCAGTTTTAACATCCATTTGATGTACAAATAAGTTATATATAGATGCCAATGCAAATAATACTCTAATAGATGTTATTCTTGCCTTGGTGCATATGTATCAAAATAGTCTAATCCCTCCTTTTGTCTAAATCCTTTTGCCACAAGCCTTGCTTTAAAGGTTTGTATAGATCCATCAGTGTTATATTTTCTTCTAAATATCCATTTACATTCTATAGGCTTAGATCCTGGAGGTAAATCAACCAATACCCATGTGTCATTAGACAATATGGAATCCATTTCATCATTTATAGCTTCCCTCCAAAACACAGCATCTCTAGATGCCATAGCTTCACTATAGGTTTTAGGATCTTCTTTTTCTAAATTAAACAAGAAAGGAATTTGACGTATGATAAAGTTTCAACTACCTTCCACTAGAAAAACTAGTGCTTGTGAAGAAATAAAATTAGAATCTATAGTTTTCTGTTTTCTAACTCTTTTGCTTCTTCTAAGTTCACTAGTGGAATCAATAATATTTCTTTTCAAAATTGAACCAGAGTCATTTGGATTTTTAACAACATTTCTGGATTCTGATTCTTTGGAATCATTTATAAATTTGTTCTCTAGGAATTCAACATCTCTAGATTCTACTATAACATTAGATTCTAAATCTAAAAGTCTATAGGCTTTGGAATTTTCCGTATATCCTACAAAAATACTTTTCAAAGCTCTTGGTCCCAATTTGTTTCTTTTAGGATCTGGAACTCTATAAAAAGCTTGACATCCCCAAACTCTAAGATAATTCAAATTTGGTTTTCTTCCTTTCCACAATTCATATGCAGAAGCCTTTAATTTCTTAGAAGGAATTCTATTATTTATATGACATGCTATTAACAATACTTCTCCCCATAAATTCATTTGTAATTTTGTATTTAAAATCATTGCATTAACCATATCAACTAGTGTTTTATTCTTTCTTTTCTGCCAAACCATTTTGCTGTGGAGTGTAAGGAGCACTAGTTTGATGTACCATGCCTTATTCTTCACAGTAATTTGAGAAATCAATAGAAAATATTCTCCTCCTCTATTACTCCTAAGAACTTTAATTTTCTTGCCTTTTTGATTTTCAACTTCAGCTTTATAACATTTAAACATATCAAAAGCTTGATCTTTTGATTTCATTAAATAAACATAGGTGTACCTAGAATGATCATCAATAAAAGTAATAAAATATCTATTTCCTCCTCTTGTTAAGACCCCTGTTTAGTTCACATATGTCACTGTGCACGAGATCTAAAATTTCAGAAGTTCTTTCAATGGAAGGAAATGGTTTTCTAGTCATTTTAGCCTGAATGCATATTTCACATTTTTCATTGATATCATTTTACAAGAAATCAAATTATGCTTTGACATATGTTTAATTATTTTATGACTACAATGTGCTAACCTATTATGCCATAAGTTTAAAGAATGCTCAATAATATACAAAGAAACTGGATTATTATTAATACTTAGTTTGAACATTCCATCACAAGAGTACCATTTCCCTACAAACACTCCATTTTTGGAGATTACAAGCTTATCAGATTCTAATACAGACTTCAATCCTTTCTTGCACAACAGATTTGCAAAAACCAAATTCTTTCTTATATCAAGAATATGAAACACATTGATCAACACCAATTTCTTTCAAGAAGTAAACTGCAGTTCCACGCTGCCTTTTCCAAAAACCTTTGCTGTGTTGCCATTGCCCATCAGAACATCTTGTCCTTCAGTAATTTCATAAGTTTTGAATTGTTTTTTGTCATGACATACATGAATTGTTGCACCAGAATCATACCACTAGTCATTTGACTTAGTTTCTGATGCTGTGTTTACTTCTATAGTCATGCTGATCTACAGATTTGAAACCATTGCAACAATGTTTTCAATTTCAACTACATTCGCAGATTTCTTATTTTCTTTTCTCTATTTTTTCCAAACTCTGCAATCACGTTTCAGATGTCCTGACTTTCCACAAATCCAACAGGTTTTCTTTTTCTGTTTTCCAGAATTCTGACTAGGTTCTGGTTTCTTTCTCTTGTTCCCAACCGTTGTGCCTTGAGATTTGTCTCCTGCATCTACAAAATTTACTTTAGATAC